AATCTATCATTCTCAAGCTATTTCCACCATCAATAGACCAAGATTCTGGGTTTTTAAAAAAAACCCTAAGTTCAAAATCGAGTAAGAATGGTGAGTTTGAGGTTCATACCTTGCTGGAAAGAGAGAATTCATGGCAGAATTGAAATCAGCTTTGAAAAAGAGTGAGGTTTGAGCCAAAAATCTCTTAAAAAGCTTATAAATTGAAATGTGTTCTTTCTCCTAAATCTCTAAATCTTTTGGAAGAGAAAAGAAGAAAGAGTTTTGATCCAAAAAGTTTGTTTCTTTTCTTTAAAAAGCGTTTTTGAAGCAAAAACGGAAAATTTTTGGAAATTTTTAAGTTTACGGGAACTTACATTTTCTTGTTTGCACATTAGGAAAGTTTAAAACTTACGGAGGATTTTTTTGGATTTACCGGTTTCATTTCGGGAAATACCGGGAATCACCAGGCAAAACCAGGAATCACAGGTAACACTAGGAAACGGCAGAAATCCGCGGAATCATCTCAACGACCAACGGCCGCGGTCAAGAGACGCGCGACCGTGGTGGCTGAAGGCTCGGCCGCGGTCATATTTCCGGCGCCGCGGTCGATGCACTCTTGGCCGCGGTCAGGTCTGTTGCGACCGCGGGTCTTCCTCCTGCGGCCTATTGTCCAATCTTCTCGTCTTTGCCGGGCCGAGCAGCTAAAGACCTACCTTTTTCTTATTGGTTTTTCTAATTTTCTGATTTTTTTTTGTATTTTTGTTTTTTTTTTTTGTTTTATAAAATACCTAATACTTAAAAAGAAAAAGAAAGCATAAACTCAAAAAGGGAAAACAAAATTAAAAGAAAGAGTACCTAAATGGGTTGCCTCCCATTAAGCGTTTTTGTTTTAAGTCGTTTAGCTCGACGTAAGCATGATGAATCAGGCTGATTTGAATGGCACTCCACTTGATGTGCCTTTATCACTTCCGGTTGGTGGAGTTTTTACTTCTTCTCCTTGAAGAGAAGTCTTCTTACTTTTAATCTTCATTCGGACTTTAATGTTGTTCAGAACCCTTTTTGTGTTTTCGATCAGCTCCTGTATTTGATCATCACTAGTTTCTGTTGCGTCCGGTGGAATGATGATCTTGATCTTTGCAAAGGCTTTCGGCTTCTCCTTTTCTTTCTCTTGGTTCTGGTGGTTTCTTGGAAGAACCTCATCCTCCTCTCCATCTTGTCGAGCATGATCACCTTCTATGTGATCATTCTCTTCGTTTTCTCCATGTTCGGACCCTCCTTGGTCCATATTTAAATTCCGATTAATAGGATCTCCAGGCTGGTCGTCGTTGGTCATTCCTTGCGTTCGTCTAAGTCTTCGAAGTTCTCTTTCGTGTCTGTCTATCTCGTCTAGAATTGGAATGTCTCCTGCATGTCTACGCCTGGTATTCATGCAATTCAGAGAAAGACAGAAGAAGGGAAAGATAGTTCAGAAAAACTTTAAGAAAGACTAGAGATCAGGTGTCTAGAACAGAAGTTAAAACAAGAAAAATAGCAAAAGGCAGCGAAACAAATCCCCGGCAACGGCGCCAAAAACTTGATGCGTGCTCGTGTCAACTACGTGAGGGAACAAGTTTTACCCTTAACAAAACAAATGAAAGCCGCAAGTGCACAGCTAATCAGTTGTAGTATTTAGAGATCGAATCCACAGAGATTTGTGTGTCTGGTATTCTTCTACGGTTTTTAACATTATGTCTAAGACTAAATTGGTTTTAAAGGTTGGTTGTTTTTCTTGCGAATTAAACTAAAACAAAAGAAAGCAAATAAATCTATCCTAAAAAGCAGGTAAAGAAAATCGAATGAAATGCAAATGAAATAAGTAAAATATCGAACTAAACAAAAATAAGGCAAGTAAAATATCGCATGAAAGGTAAATAAAGCAAGTAAATAACGAACTAAGGAAATTGAAATGCAGGCCTAAGAAAGCAAGTAAAAATCGATGGAATTGTAAACTATGACTAAAAACGCTGAGCTTTTGGGAACTCTAAAGGATCATAATCGGTTTTAATATTAGTGTAGATAGATTGGGATTGACGGATAACAATATATGGGTTCTAGAGCTAGAGTACGGCGGTATGACTATGTCACTGTCGTGATCATAACCAACTGTTTCTCGCAACCCTGACCAGTAGCTTTCCACTCTGGCCCTGGAAGGGAGAGAACGCAAGAGCTGCACAAGACTCGTCAATACTCACGATCTCGCCGCAGGTAGGTTTCCACTCCTACGGAAAAATCGCCTGTTTCATTCTAGGGTTGATACTTAATGAAAACTTTCGCAACACTAACTATCTAGATCAGATACTAGGTGATCAATCAAGCATACATGCAATAAGAACAAGAATAAACAGAGAACAAGTCGAAATCCCAGATCTATAAACCTAGATGTCTTAATCGATTATGAGAGCCCCTTTCGGGAACCCTAAGCCCAACTTGGGATTTACTCAGACATGGCTGAGTTCGACATCATCATTGGTTTTAATAAAAGTAATGAAAAACAGTAAAGAAAAGAGATAAAGAAAGCTTCTCTATTGAAGAACTCGGACTTGAACAATCTTCTACAAAAATCTCATAAAAACGGCTAAAGGAAAATGGTTTCTGTAAAGTATGAAAAGTTCTTCCTAAAAACGACCTAAATGACATGTATTTATATTCTCCAATACTCCATGGTCTCTAGGGTTCCGGAATTGAGGCTGGGAATGACTTTGGGCTTCAGATAAGTGGGATTTAAGTCGGAGGTTGAATGCCACGGTCGGGAGTGTTGTGACCGTGGCAATTGGCTTGTTAGCCGCGGTCGGGAAGCATCTGACCGCGGCAAATAGCTTGTTGGCCGCGGTCACGTGAGTTGCTGTCCGACTCCGCGTGGCTCCAGGGCTAATGGAATATCTTGAGATCCAACCGTTGGAATGTCTCCAAACCAAGTGTATTTGAAAGCTGGTTGATTCTTCTATAAGTTGTCCAATTTTTAGGGTGATCAGACGGTGAGAATGTCTTCGTCTCTCCATGAGAGTTCTGACGATCTGCATTTTTCCAAAAGAGTCTTTTTGTTCTATTTTGTGCATCTTTATCCCAAATTACCTGAAAAGTCTTTTAAAATCCGGAAACATAGAAATCCTTTGAAAATGGAGTAAAAACACCTATAAAAGATATTAAAATGATCCATAAAAAATGGTCAAAATCCGGTGTTATCAGATACCAACTGCTAGCATTCAAAATTATGATGCCAACCTGTCACTCACAAGAGCTCATTGGATTTCCATCTGCGAACATTTCTAGCAAAGAGAACAATCCAAATATTTAAAACTATACACAGTTTTTAAAATTATCTGTTACCTTCATTGATGGACCTGTTGCTTAAGTTTCCCTTGCATAACTTGGCTCATGTTTCAATTTTCTTGTCCATATGTATAGTTTTAGGTAAAGAAGTGTGAAAATCAACTCTCATATTGGTTATTAGAGGAACAACGAGAGATTTACAATTGGATTTCGTGGTTGGTCATGAGTTCTACGACCAGAGAGATTTAGAACAGTCTTATTACGTAAACATTTCTATTTTTTCTTTGTTCTTTTAAAGACTCTTGATCAAATGATGTGGTAGGATTTAAGAAAAAGGAAGACTGTGTAGAATTTGAGAGTAATAGTATATAAAGAATTTCTTGGAGTTTACGTAATAAGACTGCTATAAATCTGAACTTTGATTTTTTAGACTTTTTAGTCGTATATAAAGAATTTCTTGAAGTTAAATTCTTTTTACAATCTGAACTCCGACCAAGAAATTCTTTTTATAATCTGAACTTCAAGAAATTCTTTATATACTACTGATACTTTCTAATTCTACACACAGTCTTTCTTTTTCTAAAATCTCACCACACCAAACACTCAATAATAGACATATGGCTGGTTCTTAAATAAGTTTAGTAAGTGCAGAATCTGATTATGTTTTCTAGCCAAAGTTTGTATTCTAAAGACGTAGTAATGTACGTTAAAAAAAAAACATAGTAGTTATGTGAATTAATATTGCTCAACAACTCATTGGCACAATAATTATTTTCAGAGTAAAAATCAAAGTTCAGATTGTAAAAAGGAATTTAACTCCAAGAAATTTTTTATATACTACTGATACTCTCCAATTTTACACACAATTTTTCTTTTTTCTTAAATCTAACACACCAAAATTTTTGATTCGATAAAGAAAAAGAGTATAAATCATTTAAATCTTTATGATTTATAAAATCAAATAAATCATTTATATGTTATTATTTTTTACATTTTCTTCTTCTTAAATTGTAAAATAAAATTATTTATTTAAAAAATTCTATTATGCATATGTTTAAATTATATATTAATATTATATTTAATAATTATAATTAAAATTAAGAATAATAATTTTTTTCAAAAATCTCATATGAGTTTCTCCCATTAAACCTACTTTTAAGCAAAGTTTTTAACTAAAACTTTTAACTTAAATTTAATAATTAAATAATCACTAAGAATTTTTAATGGAATTCTAACGATAAATATGTTTTAAGAGACGGTTTTTAGATAACATGTGACTGCACTAAACCAAAACATAAGAAATTCATTTGGGTTTGCAGCGTTCATCATGCTCTAATAAGTTAGCTCGTTCATCATGTTCTAATAAATTAGCTCGTTTTGCTGATGTTAACCCCGGACGACACTAAAAATGACATTTTTGTTATGAATATTAATATAGATGTCTATTATAAGGTCCAATATTCTATTTGTCCCATATTGAAAATTTGAAGTGATAACTAGATCTTCATAATACTATATATATATCATATTATATTTGGAATAAGAGACACACTAATTTCCTCTCTCTCGATAAGTGATTTACAACAATTTTAACGATAACGATGAATTTTGTACGCCTTTTTATAAATCGCTTCAAATTTCAGTATCTTGTGACAGAACGATAACGATGAATATATTAGTTTTGTTTTAGTTGGGCTAAACAAATTTATCGACTTTCTTGTCGTTAATCACCAAAAGGTTTCATATTTTATTTATAAACACTCAATAAGCTACCCGTTTTGATTTTGTTCCTACTAATCCCACACAATAAACCAATAAATCGCATAAACCATAAGACTTATTTATATAAAACCTGCAAAAAAAACTTCTAAACTCAGAATCACCCTCTAACATTAACTCCTCTCAAACTTCGCTTCACAGGTTCTCCAAGTTGCCTCTTCCTTACCTGACTGCTTTCCCTAGTCGCAGCCATCGAAGTATCTCCATTATCGTATTCTTCGATAATCTTTTTCAATCTTTCCACTACAATTTCCATCGAGGGTCGATCTTTATCGTTCTTTTTCAGACAAATGTCAGCCAGTTTAGCCAGACTCCTAGCTCCACCAGCTGGATAATTGTTGCGTAGCCGAGGGTCAACGATCATGCTGAAGCGTTGACTATCAGCAGGATACTCTTTGACCCAATCCAACAGCCTTTGTTCAGCGGCTGGCTTGTTCCTCTCAATGGTTCGGCGGCCGGTTATGACCTCGTAGAGCACAACACCGAAGCTATACACATCGCTCTTTAGCCGAAGATGGCCTGTTTGCACGTATTCAGGAGCTGCATAGCCATGTGTTCCAACTCTCTATACACAGAATCAAGAAGAAGAAATGTCAAACTTTGTAAGAGATTCATCACCCAAAACTTCGAGTGAGCCTACATATCTACATGTCGAACCAAACCAAAATGTTTAAACCAAAACATGCAAACCAAACCATGAACAGGATAAGCCACTCCTACCAAAGATAGACATAGAAAACAAACGAAACCGAACTCTGTTCATAAAACAATTGGTTTCATCATTACCAAATAAATAAAGTCAAACTTCAATTTGATTATGACTTACTGCGGTTGTGACATGAGTATTGTCTCCCTGAGGTCCTTCTCGGGCAAGCCCAAAGTCTGATAATTTCGGACAAAATTTATCATCCAAGAGCACATTAGAAGATTTGAAGTCTCTGTATATCACCTGCCAACAAACAAACCAGAAAGTATCATCCATTGAGTCATCTGAACTCAGAAAACTAAACAGTATAGTGAAAGGTTCACAGAATGTCTCATTCTTAATCTACTGATCATGCTCTATACCAACATGTATGTGACTAAGGTATTCAAATGGCAAGAAGCCTGATTTTCTGTGATGGGTTACATTTTCTTTTGTTTACCTTAACTTCATGTAAATAAGCCAATCCTTCAGCTGCACCAAGCATGATCTCGAGTCTTTGTTTCCAAGGTAATGTGTATGATCCACGGGTGAAAAGATGGTCCTCTAAACTTCGATTCGACATGTACTCATAAACCAAAAGCCTCTCAATCCCATTCTCTCCGTCTTCCGAGCAATAGCCTAAGAGCTTCACAACGTTTTGGTGGTTCACTACTCCTAGAAACTGAACCTCTGCTAGCCATTGCTTGTGACCCTATACACCATTAAAACCCAAAGAGAAGAGAAAAGATTAAACTTTTGAGACAAAATTTCCAGACTTTTAGATTAAACCAAGTGACAAAGCTAATATTTCACGATTTGTAAGCTATTTCTTCCAGTTTACATTAAAATAAGGTACAAAATTCTAATTTTTCTCCATAACTGAATCCATGGATGAGAATATCTGAGCTTCTTCAGTTAAGAAACTCGAGCAAAATCAAGAATCGAATTTTTTTCTTTAATTTCACATTAAAACAAGTGGCAAAGTTTGAAAATGCATCCATTGAAGAATATTCAAGCCTCTGTTTGACGATTCTAAACCGATCTTTCAAGCTCTTAAAATTCTTCAATTTTCATTTAAAACAAGTGACAAGTTCGAATTTTCTTCATACATTCATTGAAGAAGATCAAAGCTTACATTTCACGATAAGCTTCCATTTCGATGGTTTTTGTTTCTACACTTATACTTAATATTGATTGAATAAGTTTATACATCAAAGCAAGTGATAAAGTTCGGATTAGCTTCAATATTGAATATTTGAATACTTTAAAGAATGTTTAAGCTTCCATTTATTGCTTCATCATCTTCTGATGATTAGATTAAGCAACAAAACAGAGACAAGACATTGAGTAAAACGTAACAATGTAATTTTTTTTTTTTTTTAAATTACCTGTAATCCTTGTCGATTGAGTTTCTTAATGGCGACGACAAGTGGAGAATCAGAATCTCCAGTGGTCGGAATCTTTCCTTTATAAACACTACCGAATCCACCTTCACCGATCTTAAGCTTTCTATTAAACCCATAAGTGGCTTCACTGAGTTCTTGGTAAGTGAAGACCCTAAGATTCTGTTCTCTCTCTGTATACAAATCTCTGATACTTCTCGGAGAAGGCAAAGATCTAGGCGTCTGGATATTAAACGACGATGTTTCACTCCGATTCGTCAGTTGTGGAGCTGAGTTTTGTAATCCCTTTCCTTTTCTTTTGGTCTTTTTGTTGTTGTTGTTGCTGTCTTTTTGATGATTCCTGGGTTTGGTTTTCTTTGATTTGAACAAGAACAGACAATTCATGTCTTAACAGAGATAGAGAGAGAAAAAAATGTCAAAAAGATTGAACCTTTTTTTGTAAGGAAAACAAGTGGAATTTTGATGGGAAAACTCAAAGGCCAAATAAACAAAAAATAATTACTTTGATCAGTTAAACCCAAAAACTATACTAAAAAAAGGCTTTTTGGGTTCCTCTACAAGTTTAATGGAAAACCTAAAATTGAGAAGATAAGATTACATGAACAATGAAATCTGAACAAGAGACGACAAAATAATGGGTCTTTCTGTGATAGAATGAGTATGAACACAGATCTATTTAAACTACCAGGAGGACGAGGTTTTCCTGGAAAATTAAGGAGAGAGACAGCAAAATTAAAAGCGAAAGATACAATAATCTCTCTCTCCTATTCTTAGTCCAGAAAAGCAGAGAAAATTTGTAAATGGGAAAGGGACAAAAAGTGTTAAGCTCTTCCTTATAAAAAGATAAGGAAGAAGTAAAGAAGAAATCGCGTACGTACGGAAACAGACGTAGAATAGTATATGTGTGAAACAAAGACAGAAATGATCAATGGTTAAGATTTTGTCATACAATTCTAGACTCTGTAATAATTGTAGGGACTGATGTTGTAATAAGATGAAAATAAAAAACATAAAAACTAAAAAAAGAGGGAAGTGATAGTTAATGACTTAATGTAAGTAAACTCAGCTTACAGGTTACAGCCACTAAATACTTTTAAATATACTTACGAATTTCGTATGTTTTGGTTTGCAGTAGGCCACCCAAAACTGATCATTCACAGTAATGCTGAGTATGAGTCTTAGGCAATAAAAAACATCATCACTTTAGTTTATGAATTCTAGTTGAAAAGAGTTTACATGTCCTTAGTTCTATGTTCTCCGATGTTTCTTGTTAATTTCCTTTAGACTTCCAAGTCTTAATGATACAACATTACAACTCAAACCCACGTATCAACTCATTTTAAGAAAACCTTCGGACCAACATTGATCAATGATCTCTCCGAAACTAAAATTCTTGCTAATCCATTTGCTGACGACATCTTTTGTTTCATTCGGTCAGATATTATTTGAGAAACACCGTATTTTTTCTAATGTTGATTGTTAGAACCTTTAGAAACTATTAATTTATGTTTTAAGTATTTTTCGTATACAAATTAATATAAACTCGTCCACATCTTATGATTTATTACAAACATAAGCCATCAAAAGTTAGAAAGTCTTCAACAAAAAAAACAAAACAAAACCAACAAAAGCCAAAAGCATTGTGACCCAGACTTGCGACTAAGCTTGTGATCCAGACTTGCCATTAAGCTTGTGATCCTCCTTGTGATTGTCCTTCCTATGTCCACCAAAAGTAAAAAAAAAATGAAAGTGAAACAAAAGATGAAAAACGTAAGAATAATTTAATGAAACAAGATTTTCAAAACATGAAAGATGAATAACCTGTTCTTTCCTTGCACTACAAGAAAGAGGGGCTTTTCCGTCGAATTATTTACGACGATTTGTAGTCGTCGTAAATTTACGACGACATTACGTCGTATTTACGATGATCAAAAAATTTGTCGTAAATTCGACGTAAAAAATAACCTTCGTAAAATCGTCGTAATGTTACGACGATATTACGACGAATAAAGAACGAATTTTATTTCGTCGTAATCTTGTCGTAATATTTACATCGATAATACGACGAATTGTCCTCTATCTTGTAATTGACGTAAAATCGATGTAAATGTGATGTAAATTTTATTTCGACGTAAATTTGATGTAAATATGCAATGGTAATATGTTGGTAACCAAACAAAAAATTCTATATATACCCTTTCTTCTCTTATTATTCCATCAATCCAAAAAAACATATAAAGACACAAATTTTTTGAGTCTTTGAATGTTTAAGTAAAATTTTTAGTAGTTGAAATTTCTATCAAATTTCAGAAACAAAAAGTCAAATATTTGTTTTTGAAATGTCTATATACGATCTACGATAGTGGATGTATACGCCCAAAAATGGTGATGGGTCGTTGACTGAAGACTTCAAAAACGGATTGGAAATATTCATGTACCAAGCCGGCCTTCTGGAAACTGTAATTGAAAGCGGCAAAATGTATTGTCCTTGTGTGAAATACAAAAATAGGAAACATATTCTTATTGACACTGTCTGGCAGCATTTATTGAATAGAGGGTTCATGCCCCAATACTTTATTTGGTATCAGCATGGAGAGGGATATGGTCAAAGTAGTGGTCAGATGGCTGCACGGAGTAGTAGTAATCATCAAGAACATGTGGATTTTGAAGCGTCCAATGATTATCAAAGTAGTCAAGTTCAGGGTGAAGATCATGATAGGATGCATGAAATGATTACTGATGCATTTCATGAAACACATGCTGATACTGTTGAGGAGCCCAATGCAGATGCGAAACGCTTTTATGATATGTTAAACGCAGCAAAACAGCCTCTGTACGAGGGATGTAGGGAAGGTTTATCAAAATTATCATTGGCAGATCGGATGATGACAATAAAAACTGATCACAATCTATCTGAAGTTTGCATGAACGATTGGGCAGATCTTATTAAAGAGTATTTGCCAGATGATAATTTGGCTGCTGAAACGTATTATGAAATTCAGAAGCTGGTTTTTAGTCTTGGATTGCCTTCTGAGATGATTGATGTTTGTGTTGATAATTGTATGCTTTTTTGGAGAGATGATGAGAAGCTTGAAGAATGTCGTTTCTGCCAAAAGCCAAGATATAGACCGCAAATTGCTGGGCGTAAGAAGATTCCTTACCAACGAATGTGGTATCTTCCTATCACTGATAGGTTAAAAAGACTATATCAATCCGAACGGACAGCTGCGTCGATGAGATGGCATGCGGAACATTCACAAACAGATGGCAAAATGACTCACCCGTCTGACGGGAAATCTTGGAAACATTTTAACACCGTACATCCAGACTTTGCTAGGTCTAAGCGAAATGTTTATCTTGGTCTTTGCACTGACGGGTTTAGTCCATTTGGTATGTCTGGTAGGCAATATTCATTATGACCTGTGATTCTTACGCCATATAACCTTCCTCCAGATATGTGCATGCAAAGAGAGTTTTTGTTTCTAAGTATATTAGTCCCTGGTCCAAATCACCCAAAGCGGGCCCTTGATGTGTTTTTGCAACCACTCATACATGAGTTAAACCAGTTGTGGCATGTTGGAGTACGAACATATGACTGTTCGAGTGGTAAAAATTCTACGATCCGAGCGGTGCTTATGTGGACAATAAGCGATCTCCCGGCATACGGAATGCTATCAGGTTGGACAACGCATGGGAGGTTATCATGTCCTTATTGTCTTCATAGGACTGACGCATTTCAGCTTAAACATGGTTGGAAAACCTGTTGGTTTGATTGCCACCGTCGGTTTTTACCACCAAACCATCAATATAGAAGAAATAGGCGTTTGTTTATAAAGAACAAATTGGTTCGTCTCCCTCCACCAGTGTACCTAACTGGAGTAGAGCTTGAAGCGCAAATAGATCATTGGGGTGGACTTGAAACGGTCCCCCTTGGAGGAAATTGGCACACTCCTGCGAATATGCCTGACGGATATGGGGTTCATCACAATTGGCACAAGAAAAGTATATTTTGGGATCTGCCTTACTGGAAAGATCATTTGCTTAGACATAATCTTGATGTTATGCACATTGAGAAGAATTTTTTTCGATAACATCATGCATACTGTTTTGAACGTCCAAGGAAGAACCAAAGACAGCGTTAAATCATGGATGGACTTACCCGATATATGTAACAGAATTGAGTTGCATATGGTGAGTAATGGGAAAGCACCTGTTCCTGTATTTCGGTTGGGTGCTGAACAAAAAACAGCATTGTTTAATTGGGTATCATCAGCCGTGAAATTTCCTGATGGATATGTATCTAATCTGGCTAAATCTGTGGATAAAAGACAAAAGTTTTCAGGGATGAAAAGTCATGATTGTCATGTGTTTATGCAACGGTTACTTCCTTTTCCGTTTGCTGAACTCCTACCGGGACATGTCCATGAGGCACTAGGAGGCATTGGAGCTTTCTTCCGTGATCTAAGTACAAGGACATTATCAGAAGATGTAGTTGCACAACTGTCTACAAATATTCCAATATTGTTGTGCAATTTAGAGAAAATATTCCCACCTGCTTTCTTCGATGTTATGGAACATTTACCTATACACCTCCCTCATGAAGCAGAGTTGGGAGGACCTGTTCAGTTTAGGTGGATGTATCCGTTTGAACGATTTATGAAGCATTTGAAGGGTAAGGCCAAAAACTTAGCAAAAGTTGAAGGATCTATCGTGGCGGGAAGTCTGACAGAAGAGACTTCTCATTTCACGTCTTATTACTTTGCTCCAAAGGTTCGTACACGCAAACGGGCTCCAAGACGTTACGACGATGGGGGTGTAGGACAAAGTTACGCAGTAGAAGGTGTGCCTGATATATTCTCACCAATTGGACGTCTAAGTGGGAAACTAAAAGAAACTTGTTGGTCAAACGAACAAGACTACCACAGCGCACATACATATATACTTCTGAATTGCGAGGAATTGGCACCTTACGAGAGGTACATAATTATAACCATGTATGATCTAAATTTGATTGAACAGACGAAATGTCCTTAACAATGTTTTAAAATTTCAGCACTTTCGTCAGTAGAGTCCAAGAATGCATTGACGGTGTTTCAGAAGATGAAATTAACAAGCGAAAAGACCAACATTATGCATTGTGGTTAAAAGGTCAAGTCGAGCATTATGACATGACATATGCAGTATGGTTTCATGAGTTGCTCCTAGGTCCTATTTCAAAGATAACTACTGCAGCTATGTATTTCACACGTGGCTATGTTTTTCATACTTATAGTCATGGCACTCAACGGGCAACTACAAACTATGGAGTTTGTGTACGAGGTGAAGTAGACTTTTATGGGATCATCAAAGAGATAATTGAAGTGGAATACCCCGGATTAGTCAGAATGAAAACTGTTCTATTCAAATGTGATTGGTTTGATCCTACGGTAGGTCGTGGAGTGCGAATTAACAAATTTGGAGTGGTAGATGTAAACGCATCTCGGCGATACAATAAGTTCGAGCCTTTTATACTTGCATCTCAAGCAGAACAAGTCACCTTTGTTCCATATCCTCGAGTTCGGAATACGGGAATTTCATGGCTGGCGGTTGTCAAAGTTGCTCCAAGGGGTATAATTGATGGTGTAGATCTCCCGCCAATGCAACAAGATGATTGTGTCGACATTACAGAACCGGATGTTGAAGAAAATGTTCTTTTAATTGATCCACGTAATCGACAAGTTGAAGATCTACATGGGGACGAAACTGAAGAAGGTGCAGACGAATTTCAAACAAGCAGTGATGATGATGACAATGATGATGAGGACACCGAGGAAAATGTTGATGAAGACTAATTAAATATGTTGGTCGACATTTAATTGCATGCTTTGAACGTTTCAATGTAACATTTGTCAAATTTAAATTTTTGAAAAATTAAAGCCAATTAATGAAGACTAATTAAATGTTGATGAAAATTTGTTTAAGTGTTGACTTGTACATATGTTGACTATTACGACGAATTTACGACGATTATATAGAAATCGTTGTAAATTCGTTGTAACATGCAAACCCTAAACCCTATAGGGTTTAGTTTTCCCAACTTACAGAATGGTTTTTGGGGTCATTTTCCAAAGTAAACTGATGTATTATATAAGGGTCTGTAGTATAAGGTTCAGGAACTTGTAGAAATGTGGTTTTTATTACGACGAATTTACGACGAATGGGAGTGATCGTCGTAAATTCGTCGTAATATACCATCGAGATTACGACGAAATGTAATCCCTAAATCTTATAATCAATCTTTTATGGGGTTCAGGGGGGATTTTGATGAAGAGAATGAAATGGCTTACCATCTCATAAGGTAAAACAACTTTCTAAACAAAAAAAAAAAAAATTCAAAATTTGACATATATGTGTTTATCAAGTATTCTTAAGGTGTTATATACATTTACACAAGATGTATGGATTTATCTTACATCTTACTAAATTCTTCATTAAGTTATGTAAACATGCTAGAAAGTTATACACACCACATGTATCATGAATAGACATGCTTGTATGTCCTTATTGATGTTTCAATTTTTGAATTTCATCAGTTTTGGTATAATTTGTCGTAAATTCGTCGTAATATTACGACGAATTTACGACGATTTGTGGATACACAGCCGTTTTAATTTTAAGGATTTATACGATTCGTCGTAAAATCGTCGTAATGTTACGACGATTTTACGACGAATAACACGGATCGTCGTAAACTCGTCGCAAAGCCCAAATACAGCCACGTGTGTTTGTCTTATTCGCTTTGTTCTACGGTGGGACCTTTGCGACGAAGTTACGACGGATTCGTCGTAAATTCTATATATAGGACCCCTTCCTCATTTCATCGCTCATCTCTCCTTCCTCTCTCTCTGCTTCCTCCTTCCGCATTCCTCCTCCTTTTGACGGAAAAAAAAGTTAACTAATTTTTTTTAATTACTTATGAGAAGAGCGGGCTGCCGAACCGGTACCCGCCCTTCCTCATCCGTATGCCCAGTTTACGGTTGAGGATTTACTAGCCCTACCGGGACGGGGGGCTTTACGACGTCTGGTTTCCGGAAAAGCGGAACCAGGCTCTTATTGGTAAGTAAACTTTTTTGTTTTTTATATTTTTTAAATTAACGCTTTAATTTACTTAAATATTAATGTAATAATTTTTTTTTTGGTTTCATAGGTTTTCTTTGGATAATTGTGTCGGTCGGAGCGTTTCGGACACAATTAAGAGTCATTTCGTGGAGCCGCACTACAATTGGAGCAAGGTGTCGCAAGAGACGTTCGACACCTGGTACAAGTGCTTCGCGGTAATATTTTTTAAAACTTATTTATATCATTTTAAATTGTTTTAAATTTAATTATTCTTACTTTTATATTGTTTATCTAATTTTTTGTTTTCTTTTGCAGCAACGGTGGAACTGGGACATCGGGATCAACGAGACGGTCCGCGAAGCTTTCCAGGAAAAGGCGAAGAAACGCCTAGTCAACACCGTTTCCGATTGGAAGCGGAAATGGGAGACCGACGGCGACGACGCAAAGCCGAGCTCCATGTCCACTACCTGTTGGAACGGGTTGAAGGCGTATTGGCTGGACCCGCATGCCCAAACCAACGCCGCTAAGTGTTTGGCCGTCCGAAACCGGGTCGATCCGGTGACTGGTGAGAAGTTAGTGACCCCGCACACTTCTGGCCAAATATCTTTTGCGGGAAGACGTCTCATGATGGTAAGTAATTAAATATAAATTATTTCATTATTATTTTAATTTTATTTATTGCTATAATTTAATAAATATTTTTGACTAATAATGTTTATTAATTGGTAGGCCGAGGAGAACGGAGGAGAACTACCTCCAATGACGAAGCTCTTCGAGACCACTCACCGGAAGAAGGACGGGAGCTTTGTCGACGCTCGGTCCGAGGAGATCTACAATGCCGCTATGCAGCGGATCGCCGAGCGGGAGACCCAGGCCACACCTGACGGTACTATCCAAGTACCGTTGACCGTCGCTGAGCAATACCAGATTTTCGAAGAGGTATGATCTATTTCAATTTTTTTAAAATTTATTATATTTATTACTTAATAAATAATTAACGTTTTTATTTTCCATTTGTAGGTTGCTCCGAAGAAGAAGGGCCGAACCTTAGGGATGGGCTCTATTAGAGACTGTCCCGCCGCCACGGCTTCCGGATTCCGCACGCAGGAGGATCCGCAGCTTCGCCAGGAGCAGGAGCTCACCGAGATACATGATCTCTTCGACATGATTGCGGAAGCGGTTCCGAAGTTGGCCACCGCAATCCGAGCGAGGCAACAGCGAGCACGAAGGGTTTTTGAGACCGGTGGTACTTCCGGTACTGGACCATCGGACCAGCAGACGCAGGGCGGTCAGTCTTCGGCTCCGGTAGTGCAGACGGGAAACGTCGGCCCAGCAGCGATAGGCGGTCAGTCTTCGGCTCCGGTAGTGCAGACGGGAAACGTCGACCCAGCAGCGACGGGCGGCCAAGACGGAGAGCCTCCTCGTGACGTCGATCTCAACCTCGACGATTACGATATCATTGTATAGATTAGGTTTTTTTTTTGTAAAAAGCAATTTATATTAATTTTTTATTTATTTATAAATTATTTTTGAATTTATTCAATTTAAATTCAAATTTTTTCTATTTTTAATTTTTTGATTATTTTAAAAATTCATTAATTAAATTAAAATTGAATTAAATAATTAATTTATAAATCGACGTAAATTCGTCGTAAATTTACGTCGATCTAACGTCGAATATTTAACGACGAATTTACGTCGAATAAGTTTACGTCGGATTTACGTCGAAACTTTACGACGATTTAACATCGACAATTAAAAATTTAGTTTCCCTTAATTGAAATTGTTCGTCTCCTAATCGTTGTAAAATCGATGTAATTTTACATCGATTTTACGTCGTTCTTATGATGGAGTTCTTTCGTTGTACTTCCGTTGGAAATTTTACGTCGCATTTACGACGAATAGTTTCCGACGATTTTACGACGATTTTCCGGAGTTGGTAATTTTACGACGATTTTCCGGAGTTGGTAATTTTACGACGGTTTTACGACGATTTCGGTTTTACGACGATCGTTTTACGACGATTTTTTATTCGTCGTTAATTCGACGTAAATGCTCTTTTACGTCGATACCTGCCGACGTAAAACCCGATCTTTCTTGTAGTGTTGGTCTTCCCCTTGGTCGTTTAGCTTCCGGCGGCTCAAGAAAAATTGGTCTTGAACATGATAACCTATTGTGCCCTTCTTCCCTACATTTCGAGCATGTCATGATTCTCTTCTCACGGGTTAACTTAGTCTTCTTATTAGAGGATGAGGTAGCTTCTCCAACACTTTTACGCCGAGCATAATTAGGTGGCCTACCACAGTTGCCTAATCTGTTTGGAGGTGGTAAAACAGGCAACCTATTTAATCTCGGCCACAACTTCATACCTTCCACTGGTTCAATATTCTTCGCATAAGTCTGACGCCACTTTAATGTGGTAAAATATTCTGAAACATAATCATCAACCTTCTGCTTTTTTGTTATGATCACAAAAGCAGCATGAATACATGGAATGCCGACCAACTCCCACTTCCCACATCCACATGTTTTCTTGTTCATATCAACACGGTATCCACATCCATGATAGTCTACCTCATGCACATCATTCGTAGACATGTATCTTTTGCAGTCTCGAGACTTGTCTATAGACAATTCAATCTCAGCATGTGCACTCTTAGTGAATCTGGTCCTCAACCTATTAGCCATAATAAACCTCCGTGCAGTTGGAACCATACATTGTCTCCTAATATCTTCTAACAAGTCAAGTAGTGGTTTTCTCCTTGCTTCACGAATGGTTCTATTGAAAGATTCATTCAGATTATTCAAATTATCATTGCAGCATGAACCAACCTTAAAGAATGCTCGAGACCATGTTGGAGGATTGGTCCTTAGTAGAGAATCATATGCAACTTTGTTGTAATTCTCCAAAGCTTTCAGATTATCAAGGTAATCTCCATTGGTGTAGCTGCGTGGGATTTTCCAAAAGAGACGCTCTAACTCTATATCATGCGTCTCTCTCTTCCAATTTCCTAGAATGTGTCTAGCACACATACGATGTTCTGCTTCTGGAAGTTCAATGTGAACAGCTCTCACCAAACTCTACAAAAGAAACCACAAACTATTAGTGTAACCAACAAACAACATTATCTCTAACCAAAAAAATACTAAACAAAAATTATTCAATTTACCCTATGTTTATCTGATATGATTGTTATGTCTCTGCCATCAAGAAGACCTAAATCTTGTTTAAGGTGGTTAACAAACCATTCCCAATTAGTGTCGTTTTCTATCTCGACTACTGCCCATGCTATTGGAACAATTCTGTTATCTCCATCTCTGCCAACTGCAGCTATCAACTGTCCTTTAATATCCCATTTAAGGAATGCACCATCTAGTCCTATGATAGGTCTGCAATGTGTCTTCCAAGCCACTCGCTGTGCTTCAAAGCAGACATAAATACGATCAAACCTTTGCTTGCTTCCTGGTCTTGGACCTGGAATAGTCTGAATCTCCATAATGGTGCCTTTATTGGTCTTGAGAATCTCTGCTTGATAATCCCAGATTCAAGCAAAATGTGCTTCATGACTAGCTCGTTTTTTCCTAGTAATTTTGGTCTTCGCTTTCCGACATTGTTCTTCAGTAACAATCAGATTATAATTTGTCTTAATATTATCAGCTATTTCCACTGCCGTAAGTTTCGGATTCAATCTCAACCTTTCTTCATACAACTCAGCAATTGACGAACTCTTCAACATCTTCGTATAACCAGACCTCACGCATATGTGCTGATTCTCATAAACCTTTATCTGCAGCTTGTGTTTACTCTTCTCATAAGAGCAGTAAACTCTCCATTTACAATCATATTCTGTGTCAGAGCAAATCGCACCAAGCTTTTTTTGTGTGGAAAATTTCAACTTGATATCATATCTGGTTTTTAGAGAATACCTAAGAAGAGCGTGCTTGAACTCCGAAGCAGAACCAAATGTCTTACCTAGTGCTAGAATTTCTTCAGGTGATGATGTATCCTCTCGAGACTCCCTTTCTGCTTCTCCTTCTTCCTCATCATCTGACAAAGGATCTGGTATGGTATCGTCGTTCCAAACGTCATCTGCACTGTCATCACTCTCTATATCTTCTGCAGCAATATTACCAAAGTGAGTGACTAATACTTCTGTGTTTTCTTCTTCCGAAACCATAGTGTCGTCATTCTGTGCTTCATCGGTGTCGTCATTATGTGCTTCAGCGGCGTCGTCATTCTGTGCTTCCTCGGTGATAATCTCATCACCATCGTCATCAGCGACAACCATACAGTCATCTCCAGGTATTGCTTCACGTTCATCTTCATCTATTTCATCTTCAACTTTTCTGCGTGATGACTGAGACTTTCGTGCTATGCGTCGACGAGGGGTTAGCTTCTTCCTTCCTGCCATATTAACTGAGGATTATCGATTTAGAGTTAAGACGTCGTGAAATTGGAGAAGAGAAGAGAAGAAGAGTGGAAGAAATTAGGGAATACAAAAGATGATTTTGGGGATGTTTTGTTTTAGAGACACGATGTCGTCTTGGACTTAACAGATCGTTAACGACAATTAACACATATACACGGTTAATTATATTGACTAATATGATATCTTAGTTGGCTAGGTTAATATAAGTTTGTATCTTTTTTAGCTTATTAAAAAGTCTGTATTTATTTTGGCAAAAACGTGTAAGTTCGATATTTAAATGACCGTTTTCTCTTTAAAGTTTAATACATACATAATTTGATTTTGGTAAAGATTTTTTTTTTAACTATTGTTAACATCAAATATACAATTTAATATTATTTGTTGTTATCTATTCAAACAATCACATCCGGGTTATAACACGCGTTTTAGTAAACTACAATTAGTCAAAGAAAACTATTCAAAACACGTATATAATTTAGATTGTAACATTTGGATGTATTAGTATTTTATCTCTTTGAATTTTAGTTGAAATCTACAAGAAAATTTAACGATAAAGCATAAATAGATAAACAATTTCTTCAACGATTCTTTGTTTTTTTTTCTTCTTTCTAAAAGGGAAAAAGAAAACGTTTCTTGCTTTTCTTCGATACACACATCGGACAATGCTATAAATGCATTGCTTCATATGAGAAAATTAGAGCGGGTTGGACTAGGTCGTGCGCATCGACACAAATATCGCGACCTAACCTTTTATTTGAAATGAAAATCTAAGTAAGGGATGTCTAAATCCTATTGTTTGGTAATGGTGAAAGTGTTTTACTATAATAAGTCGACAAGTCTCGTCAAAAGCTCTAAAAGAAAATTATTAATAGCGTTTGATATTGGTCAAAACTTGTATTTATTGGATTGACTCATATTCGTCTATACGATATAATTATTAATTGGTTACTTAGAAAGGAAGTCAATAATTCAGATGGTTAACCACAACAGCAGAATTTTAATGATTACAAATACTCTGTCTCTAACCCACCACCCCTTTTCTCTCCGTTGTCTACACATCTCTTGTGTATTTAATTATTTCAGATGAAACTTATTAGAAATATCCATCAAAGTCCCACTTATATAATTTTATACTAGCGATGCCGCTCCGTTTGCCCGAACCCCATCCTAGTTTACAAAAAAAAAAAAAACTTCTATAATACAAACACAAAGAAAGATGTTTTACACATTGCCGCATTGGAACCGAGATTCCTCATAATCATGGAAACAAGTTGAAAAACCTCGCAGGTAAACACATCATCACTTTCCTCTCCCTCTCCACAACGTAAGGATCGAATTTAGTGGTGCTGAAGATTGCCAATTGCCAAGTTCATTTCCGAACAAATTCTACCTAGTTTGTTAACAATCGCAATCGTATCTAAATTGTGGAGGGAAAATCAAAGTTGAACATAGAGAGAGAAAGATATTTATAGAGAGAGAGAAGCTTGTCTTCAAAGCATAAAATATCATGGGAAATGACGAATAGCAGAGGTAGATATCTTTTACATTTTATTGCAAATTCGATCGAAACATGTAAAGATAAGGATAGTAACATAAGGATAGTAGTCCATGCTGAGAAGTCACCTGAGGTTCGAGCCTTCCTTCTCACAAAAGACTAACGGTACCTCTAACCTATCAAACAGAATTAACAGAAAATGAGAAAATTAAACGTATGGGATTTTTCTGGTTAGATAAGCTCAACGGGCTAAACGTTATTAAAAACAAGATTTTTGCCATAGTATATTATTTCTCTCTTTTTTTTTTATTAGAGGAATATTCCTATATTAGAAGATACACTTGTATATTCTCTAAAGATTATTTTCTGATTGTGTTAGGGCTTTAGTCTCTCCCTCTTGTATAAATAGCCAACCCTATGAACGATGTAAACACACAAAAATAATACTGAGTTTACAAGTTTGTCATGGTATCAGAGAAATCGATCTGACAGACCTAGTTCAAAGTTTTTTTTTCTTCTCTCTGCTGCGCCTGTCCCTCGACGGTGCTGCAAGTCATTTTTTGGTTTCTCCGCCGCGTCTCTCGACCGGCTGCAGCTTCTCCGCCGCGTCTCTCGACCGGCTGTACGTTTTCTCTGCTGAGTCTCTTCACAGACTGCGTTCTCTGCAACCTCTGTTTTTCAGAATAAAAACAGAGCATTAAGCCTCTCGGCGTTATCTTCTTCTTGACATCATAATGGCCGTCATTCCAAAAGAAGCCACCTACAAGACAATTTCTCCTTTCGATCTCACCTCCGGGGATAACCCTGGTGCTGTAATTTCACAGCCGCTTCTCAACGGTTTGAATTACGATGAGTGGGCTCGTAATCTGCGAATGGCGTCGAGCTCCAGAAAGAAGTTTGGTTTTTTGGATGGGAGTATTCCGAAACCAAAGGATGGTGATGCAACTCTCGAGGATTGGACAGCAAACAATCATCTGCTCATCGGTTGGATCAAGTTGACGATCGAACCCAGGCTTCGCTCCTCCATCTCCACTCGTGAGGTCGCGAAAGATCTGTGGGATATCATTAAAAAGCGTTTTTCGGTGAAGAGTGGTGCTCGTTTACAGCAGCTTCGGAACTCTCTTGCTACGTGTAAACAAAACGGAGCTTCTGTGGATGATTATTTCGGTCGCCTCACCAAAATATGGGACGCCATTGAAAAATGTATGAACTCCAAACATTGTACGTGTGGCAAGTGTGAATGCGATCTAAACGCAGCTCACGACAAGGAGAGAAAAACTCTTTGGGTGCACGGCACGATTTTCTCTCAGGGCTTGATGATTCCATCCACGGGGTTATTCGCTCTCAAATCTGTGCTATCTCTCCTCTTCCCGATCTTGACAGTGTCTATCAGACCATTTTGCAGAACGAAACGGTTCGTTCCAATGCGACTGCAGAAGTCGCGGTGATGGGATTCACTTCCCAAGCTACTCCCGAGTCTCGTCAATCTCCTCCGGTAAGGACTCGTGACGTTACGCCGTCTGGTGGTTCTCGAGGTGGGTTAAACACTCCCGATCCAACTCGCGTCTGCGCCGCTTGTGGCAAGCTGGGTCATGAATTGACGATGTGCTTCAAAGTGATCGGGTACCCTGATTGGTGGACCGATAAACAGCGAAACAGAGGTGGTGGTAGGGGCTCTGCGACAGGTCGTGGAAATGGTGGAGCTCCTTGTGCAAATGTGACTCAGATTTCTGCGGCTAACTCTGCCATTGCTGGGTCTCAAGTGATGATTACCGACAGTGATCGACAAGGTTTAGCTGGGCTTACTAAAGACTAATGGAGTGTGGTCAAGCGGATGATCAATGCGGGCAAGCCTGTTTCGAATTCTGGTGGTAAGAATAATGATACAATATGGATATTAGATACTGGAGCCACACATCACATGACAGGTTGTCTTGATTTGTTGACGGATCTCCGAGATATATCTCCTCTCCCGGTCATACTACCTGCTGGATCGAATGCATGTGCATCGAAACAGGGGACAGTCCATTTTACCTCGGGTGTTTCTTTGAAAGATGTTTTCTACATTGACGGATTTCATACGAATCTTATCTCGTATGGCCAACTTGTCACCGATAACTATCTAGTCGGTCAGGCTACTGATAAGCTGATGATTTTGCAGGATCGCAATACCAGGATGCTGATTGGAGCGGGTGAACGAGAGAGAGAGGGACTTTACCGTTTCCGTGGCATTGAGACATTGGCTGTGTTTCAGACAAGTGTTCGCGAGGATACAATGTTGTGGCATCAGCGTCTTGGTCATCCGTCGTCCCAGATTACTGGAATAGTCCCTAGAGCTAGTAGTTCGTCTAGTAGTACTGATTTTTCTCTTAAACATTGTGATGTCTGTGTTAGAGCTAAACAAACTCGACAGTCTTTTCCGGATAGTTTGAATAATGCATTAGCAGTTTTTGATTTGATACATGTTGACTTATGGGGACCCTATCGTAATACGTTCTGTGGTTCAAGATATTTTTTAACCATTGTCGATGACTATTCGAGTGTTGTCTGGCTCTATCTCCCCGCTGATAAGGCAATGGTTTCCCAACAGATCCGCAATTTTCTTGCCATGATCGAAAGACAATTTGACAAGAAGGTTAAGACTATACAAAGTGATAACGGGACTGAGTTTATGTGTCTCACAGAGTTTTTTCGCGAACAAGGCATCATACATGAAACATCTTGCGTCCATACACCGCAACAGAACGGTCGTGTTGAACGTAAGCACCGACATATCTTGAATGTTGCCAGGGCTCTTCGTTTTCAAGCAAATCTTTCGATTGAATATTGGGGGGAGTGTGTACTCACAGTAGGATATCTAATCAACCGAACTCCTTCGGTGTTGCTTCAGAATAAAACCCCTTTCGAGAAGCTCTATGGTCATGAACCGGGTTATAAACACATACGTGTTCTTGGTTGCCTTGCTTATGCTCACAATTGTGATTATAAAGGTGATAAATTTGCTCCACGAAGTTGACGCTGTGTATTCTTGGGCTATCCTTATGGAAAGAAAGGCTGGAAACTATATGATTTGGAACGTCATACTGTTATCACTTCTCGGGATGTGGTTTTTCATGAGCAGACATTTCCTTTTTCTGCTTCTGAATCTCCACCATTGTTGGAACATACCACATTACCTTCTCCTCTTACGAACACCGCTGCTGATGATCCCATAGACGTGGCTCCAATGGTGCATGATCGAAATAGTGATCCTGTTTCTAGTGAATCTGACTCTGCTCCTCAAACAGAAACGGTTTTAGATGTTGATACTAATGCTTCGGATCAAGTTGTGGAAAACTCATCTGATATTATAGAGGAACCTCTTGGCCGAGGACATCGTGTTCGGATTCCGAACGTCAAGCTACGTGATTTTGTTGTTGAGTCCTTGTCAGCTTCGACTCCTCCACTCTCTCTCGCTCCAGATGAACCCGCTCCTCAGCCATCCTCAGGTTCCTTCTATCCTCTGTCTAACTATGTTTCTATTGATCGGTTTTCCCCTAATCATCGCAAGTTTATATTGGCTTTAACTACTAATATTGAGCCTCGCTCATTTCAAGAGGCCATGAAACAGAAACATTGGGAACAAGCGGTGCATTTGGAGTAGAATTCTCTTGAGGAATTGCAAACATGGAGACTTGAGGATTTGCCTCCGGACAAGAAAGCACTTGGGTGCAAATGGGTTTTTACGACGAAATACAGATCCGATGGATCGATTAAACGATATAAAGCCCGTCTTGTCGTTCTTGGTAATCATCAAGAGGAAGGTTTTGATTATGAGGAGACTTTTGCACCAGTGGCAATGATGAAGACGGTTCGCATATTTCTTGATTTTGCTGCTAAAAATAATCACGAGGTTCATCAGATGGACGTCCACAACGCTTTTCTTCATAGTGATCTTCATGATGTTGTCTACATGAAGCTTCCTCCGGGTTTTCGTCCTGATGGTGAAACTCGCGTTTGTCGACTTCAAAAGTCTTTGTATGGTTTAAAGCAGGCTCCTCGCTGTTGGTTTGCTAAACTAGCTGATGCGCTTCTTGCATATGGTTTTACCCAGTCTCGTGCTGATTACTCTCTCTTCGTCTACTCCAAGAATGATGTTTCTCTCCGCATCTTGGTATACGTCGATGATCTGATCATTTCGGGTAATTCTCCTACGGCGATCCAAACGTTTAAAGATTACTTGTCTCTGTGTTTCCGCATGAAGGATCTAGGAGCGGTTAAGTATTTCCTTGGCTTGGAAGTAGCTTGAAACTCATCCGGCATCTATCTTTGCCAACGGAAGTATGCGACTGATATTGTTTCCGAGATGGGTCTCCTTGGGTGTAAACCGGCCGGTTCTCCTATTGATCAGAATCATCAATTGGGTCTTGTTGACGGTCCTCTACTCGCTGATCCGGAACGTTATCGAAGATTGGTGGGGCGTCTTATCTACCTATCTGCAACACGTCCGGATCTTGCTTATATTATTCATGTGCTTTCTCAATTTATGCAGTCTCCTAGAGATCGCTCGCAGTTTTAAAGGTTGTGCGCTATCTCAAAGGGACACTCGGACAAGGTATTCTTCTTCGTGCGGAGGATAACTTCCATGTCGGTGGTTGGTGTAACTCGGATTGGGCATCTTGTCCTTTAACAAGGCGATCTATTACGGGATATACATTATTCAATTTGGTTCTTCGCCGGTCACATGGAAATGTCAAAAACAGGATACTGTCTCTCGGTCCTCTACGGAAGCAGAGTATCGGGCGATGACTGAGGCTAACGCAGAGCTTCGATGGATTAAAGCATTGCTTGGTGAAATGGGTATGAAACACACGGAGCCTATGTCACTTTTATGTGATAGTAAACCTGCTCTGCATATCAGTGCCAATCCCGTGTTTCATGAACGAACTAAACATGTTGAACTGGATTGTCATTTTGTTCGTGATGACATTATTCGTGGCATTATCAAATCTGTGCACGTTTCAACGAAAGAGCAACTTGCCGACATTCTTACTAAGGCATTGGGTAAAAAGGAATTTGATGCATTTTTGATCAAGTTGGGCATAGCAAACTTGTATGCTCCAATTTGAGGGGAAGTATTAGAGGAATATTCCTATATTAGAAGATACATTTGTATATTCTCTAGAGATTATTTTCTGATTGTGTTAGGGCTCTAGTCTCTCCCTCTTGTATAAATAGCCAACCCTATGAACGATGTAAACACACAGAAATAATATTGAGTTTACAAGTTTGTCATTTTTAATAATCCGTATTAACATTTTGTGTAGACAAACAAGAACTGTTAAACAATAACACAAAGAAACAGAACCAAACGGCAAAACCTTGAATATCCCCTAGAGAATCATCTCTTTAATACAAAAAGTTCATAAAAACAAGAAAAGAAAAAAAAAAAAAAGAAAGATAGTACAACCAAACATCAATATCATAAGGATAGAACGGGATGCTGAGACACATTATTAAAATTCGGACACTCTTTTCTCAGTTAGAGTGTTCATTTCACAACTCACAAGTAAATAACTTCTTCAATCTTCGAGTCTAAGCCTTCTCACAAAGGCTAACGGTACATCCAACCTATCAAAAAGTTAATATAAAATGAAACCAAATAGGCTTTATTGGAACCAAAACTTTCGCCACAATAATATATGATCCAGAGTTAACATTAGCAATGGCACAATTAAGAACTTTATATGATCAAACAACAACACACACATAAACCAAAAACAGAGCCACCGTTGGTTCGGAAACCACAAACAAACCAAAACCAAGAACAATATATATCAAAAGTCTTGTTCAAATGAGCAAAGGAGGTAAACAGTCACCTCATACCTCAGTTGCGAGTGCGACGAGATCCCCTTGAGTTTTCAGTACGCACAGGGTGAGTCTGCCCCTCCTGAGGCAGCCCGAGCTCAGAACGCAATATAGCTAGCCGTCTCTGCAATTTTCAGCCTAAGTTGAATCCGGTCAGTTTCAGACTTCTTGCGGGCAGCTTTGAGCTCCTTCTCAAGGACCTTAACATCAGGTACTGCAGCAGCGATCTCTCTATGGTGACGAGGCTGCGTCTCTCGAGAAGCCTCGCTGGTACGAGAGATGTTGAACCGATGGGCCAACGTCGAGGAGCCTTGTGAGATGGTAGTCAGGTGTGGTGGTGACGCGGCGTGATGGGCTGCAGAAGACGAGGTGTGTGATCTTGGACCTGGGCTGACCCAACTCGTTCACGGCCCTCACTGCAGCGTCTCTCTCCAGCCTCGATATCTCCAGGAACATTATTTCCTGCTGCCGAGAACGGGAAGACACGTTCCTACGCTCTTGCAATCAAATTACACTGTGTGATCAAATACTGATTGTTTTTATTGACCCAAATATTTCATCAAGATTCAATCAAATACTTTTACCTGAGTTACCTATGCCGCGCACGGCCACGGTGGACATCTTCTTACGCTCTACGATGCTTTTGAGTAAACTCTTCTTCTGTTGAACATTTCTTTAATAGTTTTTAAGACGCTGTAGCTGTGTAGCAGTTGAAGAGGGGTTCCTCTTATATATTGCAAAAAATTCAAACATGTCTCTTTCCCACCATGACGTTAATAACTTACGAGAGAAGCAGAGCGACTTTCCTCGTTAGTTCTTAAGAGAGAAACATACTGAAATCATGATTTCTAGTGGCCGTCCAATCCATAGAATATATGTCACCAATAATTACGTCATTCTAACGATGGCCTAACCATAAGTTTTGTTTAATTTTTTTTATCAACATGTTGCAGATAGTGAGGGGGGACATTGAATGTCTGTGTCCCTGTATCATCTTCTCCTATTACTGTCATCTTCCTGATGGATCACATAATCTATTGTGGGACTAATCAAACTGATCTAACTCAACTCTAAACTCTTGTAAGCCCGAAATCCTAATTTCTAATCCAAAAAATAAATATATTACATATTTTACATGTTGAACTCCACCCGTGTGACAAGGCTTACCAAGCCAATTTTCTTTAAAATGCTAAAAGAGAACATTTTTTTTTTGATATATGGTTAAACTGTCTGATATCATCTGACAGTGAGAAGAAACAAAACAACAACAAAAAAAAGATTACAAATCGTAGGCAGATACAGGTTCAAGTTTAACAAACTCATCAAAAGGATTTTCGTTTTTCTTCTTCTAACCATGCTTTTTGCTTGCTTCTAATATATGTACCTGATGATGACAAATAGAGACATGACTCCTTCACCTTTTCTTGATTACAATGCCTTTCTTTCTATTTTCCAAATCCAAAGCCATGATCTTGGTTCTTGGGGTTCTTTCTTAAACTTCCTTCACGGCTTGTATAATTTGAACCCAAACACTCTTGGAACATAGTTTGTTGTTGCCTTTGGTGGCTTCAGATGCCCATAAGTCATCAAGAACAGATGTGGAAGTGTTGTCCCAAAGTAAGCTCCATCTATGTCTGTTCAATTGCTTTAAGGAAAACCCAAAAAAGATCAACAGCTGCAAGATCTATAGAAACTCAAAAAGATGATTGCTTTAGGCATAGAAATCAAACATCAGACATATTCAAGTTTTCAGCACGAAATGAAAGTGTGGGAAACAAAAAGGATACTGCCTTGATATTTTGATCGTGGGTAGTAAATGTCCTCGCATTTAGGGCAATATATCTTCACCGTGCTTGATCGTGGTAAATCCGATTGACCAACCGGAAGACAAGGTTGGCCACAGCAATAAACTCTCGGGCATCTTCCAAAATCATAGTTTTTGTATTTGTCTAACTGCAAATAAATCATCAAGGATAGAGAATCATCAAGTGAATCTTTTATGTGATGTTTAAAATATACAAATGAGTACAAAGAATTTTTTTGGTACCATTGCAGCCAATCCTTTGCTTGTCAAAATGTAACGAGCGTGAATAAGTCCATAAAGCATCTCAGCTGCTGACTCGATCAATTCATTCTGTTCCTCTGTAAACATCTCTCCTGTTACCGATCCAATCCAAATCAAAAATTCCAGAGACACAATCACGTAAAGCGAACCATATCGGTTTCACTGCTATCCCTGAATGCAGACTCTGTGCCTAGCTAGACCGCAAGCTAAGTTGGATGAAAAGAAAACATTATAACTTACCATGAGAAGACTCGACATCGAGAATCAAATCAAGAGCGTACTCGTAGTACGGAACTAGACTGCTGAGTCCACACAAGTTGAAGTCATCTTGGATGTAATCATCATCAACTTCACAGAAGAACTCGTTTCCCCGTAAATTGCAGAACCAAGATATCCATGAAGTGTCCTCTCCATCAGAACCACTGACATCTGACTCTTCTTCACTGTCTGTGTCTGATTCATCTATTGCCAATAAGAGGAGAAGCACACAAAACATTTCATCAGTTACAATTTCTTTAATAAGAGTTCCATAGACTAATAAATGGGTTGCTTAATTCAGCTCATGAAACAGAAGCAAAACACCCAATACCTCTACAATGAACGATACATAAGCGTTTTGGTTAATATAAAAGCGTTTTGCAAATGTATGATTAATATCCAATATCTCTCTGCCATAAACGAGGGAACATGATAGGAAATTAAAATTTCATCAATTCACCAATTAGACATATCATTGATTCCCAAATCAGGAAGACACATAGCTAATTCTAGGTTAAGTCTCAAATCCAACAAAATAGGAAAAAATCCAAATGCCAAATGCGATTTCAATAGCACACACAAAACGAGAGCAGCAAAAATGAAACTCACCGTTTGAAACGTTATTCTTAGAACGCGAATCTCTAAGGTCATGTGACTGCTTCCCCATTAAGACGGAGTGCGCCGCCGCCGTTACGGTTCCTTTTCCCTTGCCGTTAACTTGACGAGACGTCGACGGAGAGGGCCGTTCCAGAGCTTCGTTGATCCGTTTACGATCCACAACCTCCGGTCTCGAACCAACCGTACCTCTCTCTCTATACATGATTCTAAATTCGCTAACAAATCTCTCTCTCTCTCTCTAACTATTTCAGTTTTCCGATACAGCTATTGAACACCTTCACCGGCGGCGATTCATGCCGGTGAGATCGAGAAATGACGGCCGTACCTGGCTTAAAAATTGAGCTCTAGGGTTTTGAAATGGAAGCTTTTTCTCTTGCCGAATCTTGTTCTCTCGTATTTCTGTTTTAGTACAGAGAAGATTGTTTTTTAATTTTTTTTTTTTCTTTTCACCGTTGGATTGTTGTGGAATACAAAAATATTTTTAAAAAACAAAAGGAGGGGCAAAATGGGAAATAGCGGAATAAAGTTATAGGTTCCCGGAGACGAGGGAGGAAGTGGAGCGGTGAATCGGCAGCCACTGAGAGAAAGTGGAGAGATGGGTTCGCAGTCCAACCACCAAACTTCCGGTTCGAGACGTGGCAGTTCACTACACAGACGGCTGCTCGTAAAACGCACATTACGTGTATGTATATGGAACAAAATTCTGATATTGAATATTGATTGCATCAGAGAAACATCGTATAGACATGTCTTTAAATGTGTTTAATCATGTTAATATTCTTTCTACTCAACCATTTCTTTTTCACGTTCTTGCGTTGTAAGAAAAAACTAAGATTTTGAACAGTACAAATTCTTTTGTTTTATATCCGAATTAATGCTGTTCTACTAAAACCAATTTTTACTATTTTGTTATTATATTGCCAAATTAGCATCCCATCATTTTACTATGCTACTCTTTCACTCAACCTACTATTAACTTTTATGGTATACAATTCCATGGGAAATCTCATACCCTCCGAAATCATGTAAATTCACAATGATTATATATATACACAACTAAATAGAAACTGAATCCAGACTTTTCGACCAAATGAACAAAAACCACTAACACTATAATCATTTGATTAAACTAACCAATCCTACTAGCACATGGAGATTTCAAGATCATCTCTCAACCAAAGGCAACTCCAAAATCCTAACATGAGATCGTGGTGGTGTTTGGGCTTGTAATGACATTTCCTACGAAATATGAAATCACTCTCTTTATCATAAGCTTATCTTTTGGTATAGCTATCTCCTATATGAGCAATTTCCGTATCCATCAACATTGTTGCAGATAAAAAGAGAGAGAGAGAGTGCGAGGAGAGATCATATCTTACAAAGACCAGGAAAGGTATCTGAGTGTGTCCATTAGTCTTCACCAAAGTACTTTTCTTCAGCGTCAAGGCCAACCTCTCGAAGCCAATGATCATCAAGAGTCTCGTCATTGTCTATCTTTGTGTAATCCAAATGCTGATGATCTTCTCCCGACAAGAACTTCTGGTGCATGATTGATATGAACTGATCCATCAGATCTTGCATCTCCTCTGGCGGTAAAAATGTTGCCCTATCGTTCTGTTCTCTATTATTTGATGATCCGTTGCTATCTGTGAATCTAGTAGCCTGAAATAAAAACCAGAAACTAGATTGTAAAAGAGGGTTTCTCAATACAATTAAGTAAACAAATCTAGAACGAGAGATTTATGATCTTCGAACCAACATAAACAACAACAAAAAAAAAAAAAACAAGTTACCTCTACAATACTTGAGCTAGCTTGCATTTTCGCATCTTCGTCATGTTCTGATTCCACTTCTTCCTCTTCTTCTTCTTCGTCATCATGTTCTGATTCCTCCATCTTCTCATTGCCAACCCAATCACTCTCCGCAACACCTAACCTTTGCTGCTCCTCTCTAATCCGAGAAACCAACTTAGCCTCCTCTGCCTGTCTCATCAATGTCTCTGACCAACGTTCTCCAGGCCTAGCCATGTTCCTACCCGTCAAATCCTGAAATTTCCCGACATACTCGTGGTGTAGATACGGCTCTCTATCTCTCATAGCATCCTCAGAGAAATACTGTCCTTTTGATACAAGCTCGTTCAAGTACGCCAGTCTCCTATTCCTCACAGCTACAGACCTCGATTTCAGCTCTTCTGATGTTGGACTTATCTTCTTCCGCAGGCTTTTCAAGTGCCAATCAACCTCGTAGTCATGTTTCAAAGCATCAAACTCAAGCAATTCATCTACACTTAACTGCGATCCATAACGCTCTGAAATCAAAGCAAAACAAAAAAGTCTCAGTTCCGAGATCAAAAATAGCGATAGGCTTTAGCCTAACAAATGCATTACACACTCAATAATTAGATAGTTAAGAATCTTAAGATAAATTAGAAGCCAATACTAATCTATTCATAAATTTCCACACCGCCATGAAGAAATAGGTATACGAATCGGTAGTTTCACGAGAAATTTAGAGCATCAAACTCAACTGAGATCCATATCGCTCTGAATCAATGCAAACAACTAGGTTTTCAATTGAGTCCTGAAATCAAAACCGTGATAGGGTTTTTTAGTCTAAAATCGCATAAAACTAAGATGACTAAGAAGGCAAATTCGTAAAATTCCGCAGATAATGTGAAGAAATTCGTATTAATATCGAGAAATTGACTGGAAAATTACCAAGGAAAACGGCGGGATCACGACGGAGGAGGTCTAGGAGGATGGATTTGCGTTGGTCGGAAGATGCAGCGGTTGATTGGACGGCGCGCGGGAAGTAGAGATCGTCGAGAGAGGAAAGCCTCGCCGCAATTTCTCCAGCCGCCGCTTCTTTCATTGCTCTTCCCTCCATCTTCTTCTTCTCTCCCGTTGCTTCTCCTCTCGATCAGAAATCTGTAACCTGTAATTGTAAATCTTCTTCGCTCACGTGCTGGTCTCGTGAGAAGGCTTTGGCGGTGTTAGTTTGGTACTGGGCTTTCTCGCTCGTACCTATCCAGCATTTCTTGTCAGCAGGTGGAGGGATAATCCGGTTTATGGTTTGGTTCGGTTTGTATTCATCCGATTTATTATACAATATTTGATGATTCCATGAAAATTTGATTTTGATTTTAAATTCATTTTTGGTTTTGGTCTTTTAAATTTCCAATTACTAAACTAATTTGTTGATTTTTTTTTTTGCGTGTGCGTGGTCAACTCACTGCATTAAATCCCCTTAAATCAAAGAAGATGATCCAAGATAAGGATAGAACTACAACAAGTCACCCCACGAGGCACGAGGAACAGATACAATTATTATGCATATAAAGCCATATACCGACCTCTTTTTTTTTGTTTTCAAATTTCAACTGGTATATTACTTTTTTTTATTTTTATTTATCTCAACTGGTAGATTACTTCTGCGTTAGAAACCTTACAACATCACAAGTCGTGAGTCGTGACCAAAAATGCCTCAGGAATAGAGGTGACCCAAATACTGACTTCAGTCCTCAAAAAGAGGTTTTCGTTAAGTTGATTTATAAACATTTCTTTTTTTGGTTCTTTCGTCCATTGTGTTTTTTTTTCACTCAAAATCTTATTACACGAAGTCACGAACATAAATCATATAGTAAATCATATCTTTAATCAGAAGTGAGATTTTGTATTAGTTTTTATTTTTCCGCAGAACTACAACTTAATATTAAAAACTGTTAAAGAAAAATAACCAAGAGGAATCCATTTCATTGAAACTGAGCCCCAGAAACTGGAAAATTCCAAGGGTAAGTACACTACATTACATAACACTGTTACAATCGGTCTTGTTCTTGGTCCAACTCACAACCTGGTCTCTATAAACCAACTTGTTTTTTCACGTGGCAATCTCATCCACTTCCGAGTTAAAGACAAAACTCGGAAACGTCGTCGTTATGTCCCTGCAGTTGAAAAAGTCCTGAAACTTGTAAAATGGCACCAAAAATAATCAAGTAACTAAGTTTCATAGTAAGGGGAAAACATACCTCAGATATGGAAGAGTCATGATTTTAAGCAAAGATGGGTTTTTGATTACGAAATCGCTCCATTCTGTCTTACCAATCTTTCCATCCCGATCCACATCTGCGTCCTCAAATGTCTGTTCACGAAAAGAAAAGGACCCGAGTTTTATAAAACAATCTTTGTTTCCGTAGAAGTAGAAAAGTTGTGATAAACAAGGAACCTGATCGAGTATCACTTCTATGGTATCATCAGCTAGTTTCATTTCAGATTCGCAGAGAAGGGCAATCAACATTTGCTTCACCTGCCAAAATTACACACACGATTATGATTTTTCTGAAGAGTTTATTCAGTAAATTATGCAAAATCAAGAACATTCATCCATCATCAGTATTGAAAAACATGTTCGAAATTTAACACGTTAAAACATAAATTGGTTTTCAAGTCGAAATATCTCAGAAATGTATACCTCTTGACGCTCAATGAAGCCCGTGCAGTCCATGTCATAAAGCCTAAACGTGACTGAGATATATATACAGACTAATGTGAATAAAAAACAGGGGAAGGCTTTAGAGAAACGACGATAGATATAAACTCGCTTATGGTCAACTTACAGTCTGTTTTCTCCTCTAGAGAAGCATTAGGGTGGAAAACATTGAGTGATCTCACAAAATCTCCAAAATCAATTACGCCCTTTCGTTTGACATCAAACAAATCAAATATCTGCAAAAGAGGGAATTACCATTAAGTACTTCTATAGAACCCATCTTTAAGATCAACTACAAAGTCATAAAGGTCTGAGAATCTTGAGATTCACCCTATTGGCAAACAAATTTTCCTTCTTCCTGTTCTTGAACAAAGCAAGTTGAAACTCTTCCTGCATTACAAGTTGGTCGTTGAATAAGTAACAATATCCAAAAGTGGGCCATGAAAGCTTCAATTTTCAAAACCAACCAATAAAAAAAGAAGTACAATTCAAGTCAACTGTCAATAAATAGACTTGGTAAGCAATACGGAGCCAACAGATCAGCATGGAGATTCAATTATGACCTAATAATAAATTGGCGAAAGTCAACAAAGTTGACAAAGATTATGGAAACTGGATAATAGTGCATTGAATATTATGTCCCTGTCCATCAAGCTCTCAAGATCCTGCCATGAGGTACAAACGAATTACGAATCAAAGGCTTTTGATTATCAGTACCTTGTTTATCAAGCCATCATCAACAACCGAGCTGCTTATGCTCTTGAATAACTCGAACAATGCTTCAACTTCACTGACACTAACTAGAAAAAACAAAGAAATAACAAGCCAAACGCTGCGAGATTAATAATAAATATCAAGTCATTCAATAAGAAAATTATATATGGCAACAAAGATTGGTGAAGAGACACTTGTTGAAAATTCTCTGATCAAGATTCATTTCGAAAGTAGATATGATCCAAGAAAAAATTATGTGATGACTTAAGTTAACGACAAGCATCCTCGAAATGGAAGATATTAATCTTTTAACGAAAATAGACTATGAATAAAACACCATTTTTGAGATCAGTGAATGCCTAGGACAGCAAAATGAGTTAAGAAGAAGAAAGGTCAAGGAGCAGCCACTAAGTTCAAGCTCTTGTAGATCTAAAGCTAAGAAGAAGATGGAGACGTAATCGATTTTCAAAAACAAGAAAAGAAGATGAAACGTATTGAGCAAGTTAACTTACAAGCTGTCTCTGAGGCAAGCTTCACAGGGTTTTCGTGTCCCGGAAATTCTCTCGAAGCCGTGGAATGAAAACAGCCCATTTACAGATGAGAAGAAAAACGAAGAAACCCGAGAAGAAGAAGAAGAAGAAGAAGAAGAAGAAGAAGAAGCTTATTCGATTGATAAAAATCGCTAATTCAACGATTTCGGATATTGTAAAGCTTGATTGCTGATATCACTGTCCATCATCATGACCATCTTTGGAATCTACACATATTCAAAGGAAACACAGAACCCAAAAAATTATGATTAAAAGACGAACACGATGATTAAATTAGCATAAACCCTAGAGAAAGTACTAACGATACGGGAATTGAAATACAGAATTTAACTCGGATTTCGTGAAGTAAGTTACAGAAATTTGACCAGATTGACAAATTTTGAAATTAATCGAAAATCAAACAAGTAATGTAGGCGCGGCCCGAGAATCTCCGAACCCAGAAATTAAACGGTAAGATCGAAAAAGAAAAAAAAAATCCCTATAGAATTTAAAATCAGCACTTACCACCGAGAGAACGGCTCGCCGGCTCGGTGAGAGAGAGAAGGGATTTTGGAAAATGAGAGAGACGACGAAGATCTATGACGATGGTAGATGAATGATCGGACGGCTGAGATTAGCTGCTCATATTACAGACTTGCTGGGCTTTTTGTTTGTTCAGAGGCCGATTGAGAGAAATTATGAGAGTTTATAAGATGAGTGTCGCTCGTGTGAAAGTTCGAACGCGTGCGAAACACCAACTTTGTATTTTCTCTCTCTCTCTCTCTCTCTCTCTCTCTCTCTCTCTCTCTCTCTCTCTCTCTCTCTCTTTTTGTTTCAACCAAACCTAATTTTATTTCATTGTTACAGTGTGGAAAAAAAACCATAACTGCTGTTATGTCTTTAAGACATTTTACTTTGATTTGGAATTGTTTCAAAAACATTTAATTCATTTTTAAAAAATTCTTAAGTTCATTAACACGAAACAAGAGCAAGAGTTTGAACACTGCTTTCTAG